TACTGAAGACTATCAGCTCTCCCCCCCCTCCCCCCCCCCCCCCAAAATAAATCTATAAGCTTTAAACCTGTAAAATGGCATTGGCCAAAAAGGCTGAACACAGGTTTACAGCAGGTTATTAAAGTAACAATAACATACAGCGTTTTTTCTAAAATGAACAAATCAGTTTGCTAGTCCCAGCAACAAGCAAATTAAGTAGTGGGTGTACTTAATAACTTAAAAAAATTATCAAATTGAGCCCTGATCTTATGCATTCATTTCTAATATCCTTAGATGCCGAAACTGGCTTACCAGTCAGGTTTTTTTCATACTGTTTAGCAAATACCTACTGATCTCCTTCAGAATATCAATGAAGTTACTATTTGTGGCAAGACAAGACTTTTGCCTTTTGAAATCTGTGACTGATTACAGGTGCCTGAGTTCACTTTTCTATAAACTCACCCCGTTTAAACTACAGATTTTAAATTTACTAGCTAACACTTTAATAACTTAAATATAGCCCTTTCAGTATCCAAAGCCTCATTCCTTGAAAAGAAATCCCCTAACATGATGGTTAGGAGCGGTGCAGGGATGTACACAGAAATGTAGAAGTATCTTCCAAACTCTACTAGTTTCATACAACAGTTGTTTATGAAGAATACAACCAATGATCCGATACATGTATCAGAGGTATTCTAAGCCAGGCCTAAAGAATGGCACTTCATTATAAATGCAATTAATGTCTTCCTAACTAAGGCTAGGACAGTCAAACAGTGCACTACTACAGATTCTCTCCTGCTAGAGTTAATGCAAATTCTAGTACTAGTAAATAATCCAGACTTCTGCAACATACACTAAAATTATTTGCTAAAACCATTGACACTTTAATGCTCTGAAATGAGCAACTTCCAAGAGGAACAGGCAGCCTGAGCTATAAATACGCAATATTTACAGACTTAAGTCAGAAGGCTGTATACCTTTTTACATCTTTAATGCTACTTCTGCTTACTCATAACATTTAGGAAAAAAAGTGTTTTTCTTAATTGCTTCCTCCTGACACTCCACACCATTATGACAACAGAATACCAGAAAGCAGACAAATTGCCTTAAAATGAGTTTGCTCTATGTTACATTTGGTACAAAATACAGGAAAAATAAAGAACAAGTATTAAATGTACAACTTTTTCAACCTGGATTTGCAATCCAGAACAAGTATGTCAGTGACATAAGTTTGCTAAAGGGCAGAAAAACACCACAAGGCAAACTTTAAGGAAACTATACATCTTTCAAGATTTTGTTAGATACAGGATGGTGTATAAGTCCCAGAGTACCAAACTGATGGTACTTCAGCATTATGAGAACATTACAGAACAACAAAAATCACATCTGTTCAAGTCACTCCTGGTAAGTCTTCCTTATTTTAATAGCAGAAAGTGTCGCTGAAGGAAGTTGTTTTATTATTGTATGTATTTTAATGCTATGTAATAATCCTGTCTTGTATTCTGTAAAAGCAAGCTGGCAGTGGAGACGCCAGGCGAGATGCACCACCACGACCACTACAGACAGCTGCCATCTTTTTTTGCATTTACTCCTCACCTATAAAATTGCTACTAACTTCATTAACACGCATGAGATAGCCCATGAATGGGTTTATTTTGAGTAATTCCATCAGCACATGGATAAATTTTTGTTTCATTTCAGTGCTTAACAGGCATAATGACATGAAGGAGAATCCTTTTAAAGATTTCAGAGGGTGATGAGGCCATTAACATGTTTAGGTGCTAACAGCATTAAACAGAGAGGAATTATGCCATAAGCTGTCCCACTTTCTTTTATTTTTAAATTTAAATAGAATGATAGGAAGTTCAGGAAGACTGTCAAAGAGATTTTACCCATCTTTTCCTAAATCCAGACATCATCAGTTAGTACTTTCTTACTCTCAGTTTCCCTAAGTAACACTAAACTTTGTTCGTCGTGTGCTCACGCGTTTTATATGGTCCACATGTACTTCTACTGCTTTTCCTCACCTGTTTTTCACACCCACGATTAACAAACAAAAAGAAAGCTCAAATCGCAACTTTTCAAAGCAGAAAAAAACACAGCAGGTTACATGGCTAAAATATTTGTATAGTGAAGAGAAGCAATAAAGTCAGCACTAGGTTACCAACTCCGGGCAAAAGTTCCAGAGGAGAAAGTGTTAGTGAGCTTGTGAGTGCCGACAAACCTAAATCTCACGGCGCTAACCGGGCTGCCAGGCAAACGCAGCCCCGGAGCCCCGGTACGAAGGGGAGGCGGCTACTCGATTTTCGCTTCCCAACGGGAGCCGGGAGTTGCCAGTCATTTCGAGGGCTGGAAGGAGGGGCCGGCGGCAACAAATCGGTTTTTGCTTCCACCACCACAGGCACTGTTCATAACGCGAGAGCGTCCGGGACCCGGGGGAGGTGGGCTCACCGAGGGGCGGGCAGCGGCTCGGCGGCGGGCGGAAGGGCAACCCCGGCCGCAGCACCCGCTGTCCCGGATTCCCATCCCGCTCCTCCGGCGGGGGGTCTCGCTCACATAACGAGCCGTGGGGCGAAGGGGAACTCCGGGGAGCGGCAGCCCAGCTTCGCCTCGGGGATGCCCGAACCCTGAGCGCCAGCGGGCGCCCGCCGGCCCGCGCGGGCTGCGGCCTCACATCCACGCGGAGGAAGGGCTCGCCCGCCCCGCTTTCCCAGGGAGAGGAGGGGCGGGCGGAGCGGGGACCGAAGCGAGTAGCGCCGCAGCCCCTCAGCTCTCCCCCCCCCACCGAGGCGGGAAGGCGCACGCAGGGCGGAGGACACGCGCCCGCAGGTCCTGGCTCCGCTTCCCCTCCCCCATGCCCCCAGCGGGCCAGCTCGTGCGCGCCCGGCCCCTGAAGCGCTTCCCGGTCCTCCCTCCAACACACCCCGGGCCCCAGCCGGCGGAAGGCGGCTCCTGCGTCCCGGGCCGCCAGCCACGGGGCGAGCGGCCCCCGGAGCACCCCCTCTTCCCCGGAGCAGCCACTGCCCCATATCCCTCCTCCTGCCTTCACCACCTCCACCTGAGCCGCTCCTCGTCCTCCTCCCCACACTCCCCTCGCCTGCACTTCTCCTTCCGCCTCCCTAACGCGCCACGGCAAGGAGACTCCCAGCCGATCTCTTACTCGGGCGGTCGCTGCTCGGGCTCCGCCGCGGCGGCCATTTTGAACTTCCAAACTCCTTCGCTGCCGCTGGGGAGACGCGGGGCCGCGGCGCACGCGCACAGAGGCACCGCGGTGGGTGGAGGCGTGCGGGGTGAGGTGGTGGTACAGCCGGCCGCCGGAAGTGAACCCCGCGCTCTGCGTAGCGAGCGGGCCGGAAGCTCCGCCCCCGGGGCGGTGCTCTGCGCGCGGCGGGAGCAGCCTGGAGGTGGGGGTGATGGTGGCGGAGGTGGGGGGAGGAGAGGGTTGTGGCGGGTGTTTGGCTGCGACACCTGCGTCTGTGGTGGTGTCTCCTCAGGGAGCTTCCCTGGGAGAGGGGTGCCGCTTATGTTCGGAGAGGGTCTGGCGATGGAAGGGGCTGCAGCCCAGGAGTGGTCTTCAGGGCGGGCTCTCCAGAGGCGGCTGGCGCGCCTTGTGAGGAGGTTGTTCGGCTTGGTTTGTTCTCTCAGGTTCCGTCTGACTGTACCGGGTTGCGCGGGAAGGGCGGGCGGGGTGCTGGGTGGTACCTGGGGGTGCGATGGGGCGTGGTGGATGGGTTGGAGGCCTCCGGGTGTCAGCGGCGCAGGTCTCTCCCTAGTGTATTCCGCTTTGAGGTTAACACAGCCCGCCTGTTGACAGGAAGTGTTATAAACTGAACATGCAAATGCCGTGGTACTGTTAACCTGTAGTTCGTTTTTAAATTCGACAGATGATTTGGGTAATCACTTGTGGCATCGTTTTGCTAATGATCAAACCCCTCACTTCTTTCAGGTAGTCTTAAAATCTGCACATACCGCTTGGACTGGAATCCGAATCTAGATTTTATAGAGACTTAGAGTTCTTAATAATTTATGAAGTAGATTTTAACTGCTTTGTTTATTGTTATTTGTAGATTTATCTACCACTAACTATGGAGTATAATTTAAATACAAATATTGACATATTCTGTCAATGAACCTGCATCGCTCTGAGGAAATCTTAACATCCCAGTTGTATGCTACTGTGCTTTAGGGTTTTGAAGCCCAGATTGCCAGCCTGGTGAAGATGTTTCTGGTGGAGGTATATAGGTATAAGCTCTGCCAGTTCACAAGCAGCATCAAAAGTACAATCAGGACGTACCTGGCTTATACGTGTGAAACTGATACAGCATCAAATTCTAAGCTGTCCTAAAATTGACCAAAATGAAAATGAATCATATGGCATGGGAGATTAAGCTAACCGAGAAAATAAGAAAAATAAGAAAAATGAAGAAAATTTTGCAAGAAATGGCTCTTATTGCCTGTGTGTCAGATGCTTCAAAATGAGTCCTCACTGTTGCGACATGAGCCCAAGTGGTCAGAGCAGTAACTCTTACGCTTCTCACTTTTGTGAACACCTTGTTTGGAGCAACAGCGCTTTATTTGCACCTTGAGGAGCCCTCTTCTGCACTGCCAACTGCTATTTCAAATGCCCAGTCTGTGCATCTTGGCCTCTGTTGTGTTTCCAGTGTTACAACTTGGACCTTAGCTGGGGAGATAAAAACCTCTAAAGCTGAAGCAAGGTGTAAAAATGTCAAAAATCAGAAGAAAGCTGGATGTAGCGGTAAAGGGGTAGCTCATTCTGTGAAAGATGTTTGAGCTTTAAAGTTGGGTTCTGAAAGAAGGCAGCGTTTCTACAGCGTGCAACGTAGTCAAAAGATGCTCAGAAAGTCCATGAAAATGTTCATGATGCCAATTGTGACTTTAAGTGTATTTATTGTTGCATGGCTGAGGGGGGCTTAATGGAGAATCATTTAAAATCACCAAAGGGATATAAGAAACCTGAGTGCCTCATCAGTGGAAGTGTTCTTACGTCGCAGAGTGCCTCACCTCTTCAGGCGCACAATATGTTCATCATCTTTTGAAACTGAGCAAGTAAGAAAGCCTTATGTAGTTTGCCTTTATCAGGATGTGTTTAAATGTCTGTATAGTGATTTTACCAGTAAGTCAAATTTTATTCTCATACAGTTGCCTCAGCTACACATGTGTCTGTGCACTTAACTTTATTTGCTCAGTGCCAAATTTACTAGAGAGTTTCAGCATGAGCTGTAAATGCTGTCAGTTAAGTATCTTTATACTGGTTTAAACAAAGAAAATATGAAAATGGCAAAAATTCTAATAAATGTTCATTTTTTGGTGATGTTAATTCTGCAAAATCGTGTCTCATTTTATATTGAGGATTCAGACTATTTCTAGGAGTAGTTGACCATCATATTCTAATAATTTCAATATTATTAGCTTTTTAATGGCTCTGTAACATTACTGTGAAGGTACTTTTATCTCTTAAGTTTTGTGACACTGCTAATAGCTAAATATTGCCTCCATTTATAAATGAGGGTCCTTGGCAAAGTAACATAATCTGTGTCTCTCAGATTACAAAAGGACATAATTCCAGTGCTGTTCTCCTTTGCATTGACTACAAATATTGGGTTTGAACCAATTATACTTTATTTAAGCAAGGAGGAAATAACATTAAAATGTTTCTCATACTGATTGCAACTGTTTTGTCTTTGGTAAAGACATGCATTTAGTGCTTACCTTTAAGACTGGTTAAAATCTTGAAAGATGTGTGTACAAAGGTAGCCTGGGCATTTTTCTGTTGAACCAGACAGTGTTTTAGGTGATTGCAGTGACTGATTGATTTTGGTAAGGTTTCCATGGTTGCTACTGCCCATACAGACCAGCCTTGTTTTCTGGGCTTGAGCTATTTGTTCGGTTCTGATTGCTCAGTAAAGCCGGTGCAAAGCCAGGTGATTTATGTGAAATAAGATGATGGCTCGCAGGAGCACTCTGGAGTTTGTGGCAGAGCTCAGATAAGAAAACAGGCAATGTTAGGAGTGTTAGGAATGTGGAATTACAGGGCTTCCTGTGATTGTAGCCAGGCTGGGCATTACATCTGTGTTGCAGTGTAGGTTTTGAAGGGTTTAGATTAGATTGTACTGTGCAGTCTAATTTTAAAATCTTTGGGATAGGTGGGGTTCTGAGCTTTTACTGTTCAAAAGGGCAGGAAATAAAATTTTCATAGGTTATTGCAGAAATTCTGCAGGGAAAGGAACCAAAGAAAGGGTCAGTTTTAGAACAGCGACATACAGTGTCTCCGCTTCATTGCATACGACTAAGCTGGCAACAAGGCTGTAGTCCAGTCTTAACTTTTTTTCTAAGAGGTTGGGAAGCAGAGCACATAAAAAGACAGCTGAAATTCACACAGTTTCAAACTAGAGATGACCACAACAGTGAAAAAGGTTTATGAATGCTTATACAAACAATGTTTTCTTAAGTGAAAGGGAAAGCGTTTTGTATTGGCAAATTATAACTCGTGTCTGGAATTAATAATTTGTTTCCTTTTGTTTTGAGGGGGAGGGGGTGTAAGGGAGATCAAGAATCTATTTCCCTTATAACTCTAGTGAGAAGGCAGTCTGGGATGAGGTTTTCTGGGATCCTCTTTTGATAATTTTCATTATGTCTGGGTACTGTGAATTTTTGAAGATTATAATTTACTGGTCACTGTTAAGTTAACACATTCAGAAAGGTTCTTAATTTTAGCTTCCTATTGAAAAATATAGTAGGTTCAATACTTAATAGCTTTTTAAATTATTGGTAGTATGATGGAATTGTGAATGTTTTATATTTGGTTTTAATATTTGCGTTTTTGCAATAAATGTGAGCAAAGGAAGCCCTTCTAAATGTCTGTTTAACATTGTGTTAATTTCTGTGCATTTCTGAGGTGGAGAAGAAACATGAAAGAAATTCAGTAGTCTTCAGCTTGCTAGTATTTTTCAGGTGTTTTATTCCTTTAAAGGGTGTTTTACCATAGCAGTACAAAGAACTGTTCTCTGCCAATTTATTATACTTTTGAAGCTGATCCAATGGGTATGGGAGCCTTCCTGCTTGCTATGGGAATAGTTTTGGAAATAAGTTTTAACTGCATGTTCCTTAGCACCAAGCTTGTGTTTAATTTAGTTTCAAGTTTTAGCTGTAATTGTTAACATTATTTGCGACAATGTGCTTTATAACTTTGAACCTACATGAAAACCTGACCTGCTCAGTGAGGAAAAGTGCAAATTGCTCAAATACTTTGGAGTACATTGAAGTTTCGTCTTAATTTCTTATGTAGGACAAAGATACTGATCTATCATGCTGAGAGCTTCTTGTATGCAGTTATGCAATGTTATCTGTTGTTTACTTGTATAAATTAAAGCAGTTGTTGGTATTTCTGTAGACTGCATAGTGACTATTTACCATCTGCATCAGGGATAAAGAGGCAAAAGGTATGAAAGACTGATCATGCTGCCTGTCATTATTTTTGGCCTTTGAATCTTAAACCTTAAACAGTCCAGAAGTTGCTATAAAGTTATTTTATATTAAAACCTTTACAGGAAAGAGATTGTGATCTTGATTTCCATTAAACAGAAATCCTTTATGCAAAACCTGCAGCCAGTACTTTCTCCAGACCAAATTTAGACAGATTTACTGTCTAATTTAGGATATGTACTTAGAAGAAAATGTGCAACTGAAGTGTATCTCATCTCACCAGTAAATCCTTTAAAGCTTGGGTATTTTGATGTTTCCCAGTTGTCCTTTCAATATTCTTCATAGGTTCTATAATTCATATCAAAATGATTCTACTGCAAGTATGTATTTTGTGAGCTCATTTTAAATTCTGGTTTGAAGTCTTTGAGAACTGCTCATTATCCTTTTTGTTGTGCTGTTTTGACACTGTGGGATCATCCTTAGAGCTGAGCTAACCTTGCTTTTGGTCAAACTGCATCTTCAATTAATAGTTGCTCTTTTTTTCTGAAATACTGTGTATTTCAGCCAAATGCAACCTCATATTACTTAAATAAGCACAAAACACTTTAAAACTACACAGGAGTTAAGTTTGAATGTTTAGTAATTGTTTAAAATGTAGAATTGTCTTGGTCTTAATGGATTTAATTTGATTTTAACCCATTATATTAAACTCTGTGACTTTTTATACAGCTAAGGAATGAATCAAAGTCTACAGGTATCTGTACAGCCATGGTTACAATTTCAAACTGTACCCATGCACTGAGTATGAGAGATGAGATGTTTTTTCCAAAGAGGTGTATTTTTGGCTGTTGTGTTGTTTTGGGTTGGTTTTTTTGTTTGTTTTTTTTTTTAATTCCCCTTCCTCCTTCAACAGCTGTTGGCATTTTGGTTTGGTGGGGTTTTTTGGTTTATTTTTGGGGGTTTTTGGTTTGGTTTTTTTTTTTTTTTTTGGTGAGAGGGTTGACTGCTTTGTTTATGAAGTGTAACAAATGCTTTGTAAATGCTAAAAGCATATGCAGGACTTCTGATTAAACATTTTGCTTCTGTCTGCTTTTATCGAGTGAAGGTGAATTTCCCAGTGCTAAATATTTGAGTAATGCAAGTCTATGTACTGGTAGATTTGTTTTAATTGGTGGAAGAAGGCTTTAAAATTTATTAAGCTAAAGTAAAACTGTGTTTTGAAGGGGGGGAAGAGGATAAGGGACTTACAGTTTGCTTGTTACAGTTTGCACTAAACAAGAATCCCTATCTTCAAAGGCTAATGGTAGCAGTGAGGTGTAGCAGCTGCACTGAGCTGGCAGCTCAACAGCTATTAACTAGGTAGAGGAGAGAAGACAGCAAGTACACTTAGTGCAGGAAATTAGATGCATGACAGCATGCTTGGGGCTTGGATCCTTTTTTATGTGTATTTGAGTTTCTGATGGGCTTACTTTGGCAACTGATAATTGCTTGGTTGGCTAACAAGTTGCCTGGTAGTTTAAGAAGAAATTCTTCTTTGTTAAGTTAGTAGCAGCAAGTTTATTTTCCTTCACCAGTCTTGCTCCATCTTACTCAATGACAGCTTTATTTTTATCTGCTATAGCAGAGATTCTTGCTTCTTACAAGGAAGACTCTCTGTTACCTCACAGATCTATTGGGTTTTTGTTATTAAACTACTGGGCCCTTCACTTGGAAGGAGGAGGGAGGAATACTGTACTGCATAAAACATTAAACTGAAGTATGTTTCTTGTCTGAAACTTTTCTGACTTTAGCTTTATGTCAGTGCTACTGGAATAACACTGAAAGTGTGATACTCTGAATGATGGCAAGCCAAGTTCAATCTACAACTTAGATCTTTTTTGACCAAGAGTTTGGTTTTTTTCTGATTCCTTTGTGGACATTTAAAAATGTCAAAAATACATGTTGCAGTTCATGCTGTTAGCAGTCCCAGTTCCTGTGACCTTGACCTACAAAGTCCTAGACTTGCGGTTAGAGCAGAGCTATGTGGAGGGACTTGTCTCTGCATCTCTGATTTCTATCTGCTGTCTTCAGTTAATCTCATTAACTGAAGCAGGCTGAATATCACAGGGAAGTATGTAGCAGCCTATCAATATATTTACTTTAGTGCCATCACATAAGCAATACTTAGGCTAACTTAAATACTTTTACAATCATGAAGCAACTTTCAAAGGACCCTATCCAGCTTTGTATCTTGCAGAGTGAACAAAAGGAGGGGAGCTGTGCATTTTTATACCATCAAATTTGATTTTTTGTAACTTATCTTTTAGTAGTGGTAGAGGCTATGTGTCTCTAGCAGCAGTTCTACTTCATGCTGATATATGCTTTCCCCAAGACTTGTTAAAGGAGACCCCTTCTTCTGAAAACAGAAATTAATTCATGACGTATGCCTGCATTTCTCATGCTTCCTCTATGTTTTAACAGCTTACTTCATATTTAGTGTTATAAAACCATACTGCCTTTTTTTTTTCACTAACCTAGATGCTCTCTTTGTTACTAATATTGTTTGTTTAAATATGCAGTTTTCACTTGCTCGTCTGTCTTGCTTTTCTGTTTTTGTTTAAACTGCAATTTCTCATGTTTCTTTGCCTCCAACTGATGCTTGTTTAAGAACAGATCAAGCAAAATAATTCAACCAATTTTCTAGAGTGCGTATGGGGGAAAACTTTCTGTTCCTAATGTTTTGAATTAGAACTGGTAAGACCATGGATACCTTTTATTTAAGAAGGCATAATAGCCCATGGCTTGCAGGAAAGACCTAGGCATTTTTTGTATGGTGTCTTCTGTTAGAATAGATAAAAGGCACACTCCTCATGCAAAAGTCTGTGGAGATTTGGCCTTTTCACAGCCTCCAAAAAATGCAATGAGCAGTGAAGATAACTTACTGCAGGAAGCTAATTGTGACAAATTACAAATCTCAAGATTTGGGCCAGAGCAACCCCATGCAGTGCCACAGGCTTTGGTCAGAACAACACCATGCAGTGCTACAGGCTTGGAGAAGAGTGGCTGGAAAGCTGCTCTGTGGAGAAGAACCTGGGAGTGCTGACTGACAGCTGAACATGAGCAGCTTGTGCCCCAGCAGCCAGGAAGGCCAGCAGCATCCTGGCCTGTATCAGCACCAGTGTGGCCAGCAGGGCCACAGCAGTGGTTATCCCCCTGTACTGGGTACTGGTGAGGCCACATCTCAAATCCTGTGTTCAGTTCTGTGCCCTCACTACAAGAAAGACATTGAGATGCTGGAGGGGGTCCAGAGAAGGGCAACGGAACTGGTGAAGGGTCTGGAGAGCAACTCTTATTAGGAGCATCTGAGGGAACTGGGGTTGTTTAGTCTGGAGAAGAGAAGGCTCAGCAGGGACCTTATCACTGTCTATAACTACCTCAGAGGAGGTTGTAGTGAGGTGAGTGTTGGTCCCTTCTCCCAAGTAACAAGTGATAGGACAACAGATAGGGGCCTCAAGCTGCACTAGGGAAGGTTCAGATTGGGTATTAGGAGAAATTTCTTTACCGCGAGAGTAATCAAGTATTGGAACAGGCTGCCCAGGGTAGTGGTGGAATCACTGTCCCTGCTCCCTCAAAAACCGTGTAGATGAGGCCCTTAGTAACGTGGTCTTGGCCGTCCTGGGGTAATGGTTGGACTTGATGATCTTAAAGGTCTTTTCCAGCCAGCTGATTCTATGATTTTAAGGGAGGCAGGGACAAGAACTAAGAAAACTTGCCAGTTTTCTTTGGTACCTGGCTGCAAAAGTTCTTGACTTTTATTTTTATTTTTTTTAAAGTTGGATATTGGATACTAAAGGTTATTGTGGCTGGAAGACTTGTGAGAAGTTGATGGAGGACATGATGAGGAAATGAACTCGAGCAGAATTTGGCATGGTAAGAAAAATGCTAGTGGACAGGCCATAGTCAGCAGTGAAGAAAATAGTGAGGAGTCTCAGAGAATTAAAATAACTTGGGGAAAAGGGTGGCCTGAAGTGGACAGAAAGGATCTAGAGCCTCAGGCACGTGAACCAGAATTAAAATAATAGGGTACACAATAACTTCTATGTACTATTACTGTCATTATTCAAATGGGAATTAATTCAAGCATCAGAGGTTTCTGCAAAGGTTTCAGCAATGCCAGTTACCCAAATATAATTCCCCATTATGAAATCTGGAAAGCATATTTTAACTTCTTACGTACTTTGTTTCAAAGAAATGAAGCCTAAAACATGTTAAAAACCCCCAACCAAACAAAGAGAAAACCCAACAAACCAAACACCCACAGAAATTCAAGATAACTCCCAATAAAGGATGCAAAGTCACTTGTCATCTGCGTGGGCATATACACTTGCAAAATCTTCAGTTGCTTGACTTGACTGTATATGCATATTCTTTCCCCCACATGATCCTTCTAAAATACAGTGTGTAGAATGGGTAGTGCTTCATTAGCCTTGGTTTATTGTTAAGTGAGCATAGAGTATATACACAAAAAACAATGGAATAAATGTTACCAAGGCAACTTTAATTTTGGCAATTACTAGTTTTTATGTCTTGCCTTAGGAACCTTAATGAGCTGGAATTTCGTTTTGGTTTTTAATACAGGATTTATTTTGTGGTTGTGAGAAGTATATTGGGGATCTACATTAACATACTAAAATGCTGAAAATGCCATAATTATGCAGCAGTATGTGCTGTATGCATTTAGTGGCTAGGCTGTGAGACCATACAATACATTGGTATTTGTAAGTTCACGTATTTCTTCTTTAGGTCCTGTGACATCTAGACCCACTGGCTTCAGCTCCATTGTAACATCCTGACATACATTGTGTTGGTGGTGACTTACTGACCATTGAACCATGCTGGAGAAGCTGGTGTACACTGTATAGAGGGTTAGGTAAGTATTTGTTTATTCACAATACTATCTTGAATGTACCATCTCAAAAAGCTGCAAGACGCTTAGGTTTGTTTTTTTCTTTTTTAATCTGTAAATGGTCATAAAATTGGCAGTTATCCTCCCTTTTCCCCCAGTCACTGGAGGCTCCATAAGCCAGCAGCATTTGTAATCTTGACACTGTGCTATCATATTAAAAAGAACTGGCAATTTAATAAATCAGTCATGATGACTCTGGGTAAAGAAAAAATCTTTATTTTTTTCTTCTTGTAAATGACAGTGTGCTGAAACGTCTTACATTAACAAGTTCTTGTGGGGAGCATTTGATACATACTGCTTAAGTTGATGGATTTTACAAGTTATCTGCAGAGTTGGTGCAACTGATCGATTCATTTATATAACAATTAACATCAGTTTTAGGGAGTGTGGGGTGGAAAAGAGGGTTCTTGGTGCTTTGTTGCTGAAATAATTACCCCATAAAAAAGCAATAATATCCAAACTCTGTCAGGACCAAAAAGATTGAGTCAAGTTAAGTGATTCCATGCAAATGATATTTTCAATAGATATAGAAGTATTCTACTTACTCTGACACAAATGCTAGCTATCTTCTCAGTCATCTAATGGGCTTACTTAATTTTTCCTAATCTTGCCAAGCGTGCTATATATTTAAATATGTATGCAGCGCTGTGGGTTTTTCGAAGCTTATGTTTTACATTGGAAATGATTGTCATTTCTCGGTATTAGTCTTAACAATGTAATTAGAATCTTATGCTATTTTTACAACAGAATGAGAAAGGAAACTTATTAGGTCAGGAATATCCAAATATTAAAAATTAATCAATTCCTTGCAACGTAATAGCTGTATTATGCAAATATGTTACTTGATCTTCATCTACATGTATAATGGTCATAGGAAGCTCAGGAAACTTAGAAAAGACAACTATTTAAAATGTGGATTGTTAGATAAAGCTTTTGTATGATAAAATCATTCTAATCTGATGAAACCAGTGGGTTCAGGGCAAATGAAAATCGTATTTCTCCTTCCTACTTTGTCGCTTTTAAGAAACAGGGATATTCATTGTGGCAGCAAGTGTGTCAAACACAGGAGCAATTTTCCAAATGCTGCCATTTTTATCATTATAATCTGTGCTTATTTAATTTTGTTTTTCTTTGTGCTGGGCAGCGCTGCGGCAATTTTATAACGAAAGTGTGCATCCAAGGATGATAATCTGTTCTAGGGTGTGTGTGAATGGCAGCTAAACATTGCAGTATGTGATATACCTGTTCATTGTATTTACATGTCCAAAAGTAAAATAGAGTAGTTCTTTCTTCAACATTACCTGTATGTAATAATTTATATCTAATTCTGCACTGTAGTTATAAAAACGAAAACCAAACCACACAACCAAAACCAACCAAAACAAACTCCAACCCAAATAAATGGCTTGTCTAGCTCTTTTGAGAAGCTGTTGTTTTGCCCTTAGTGTGTGTTTCACATACATAACACAGGATGATCAACAAGGCTTTTTTTCCTCTGTTAGTGGACTGAATTATACGGGTTACGCTATTTTGAAAGCCCCTTTACAACTTTGTCTTTCACCTGAAAGTATCTTGTCTCGAATTCTGAAGTCTTTCAGTCACTGATGGTAATGTAAAATACTGGGCAATACAGTATTTTGGATTTCTTGTTGAATTAATTTACTTTCTTAATTGGCCATCAAGAGAAGACTTGAAAGAGCATATGGAAAATTGCTAAACTTCTACAGCCTTTCTGTCTTCCTTTTGGGATCAGGTATTCAAAACCAGATGTCCGATGAGTGGTCATCACAAATAAATCCATCAGAAAAAAACCTCAACAAAAAAATGAAAGAGAGGAAAGAAGGCTGAAGATAATTCTGTGTGCTTCAACACAAAAACAACTAGAAGGATTTTGGTTAATGTACATGCATTGCCTACAGTAGGGTATGACCTATACATGGCAAAAGTTGCCATTTTGCTTGTTATACTCCAAGTACCTCTGTAGCTGTTCATTGCAGAACAATTGATAATGTGGCACATGTATATTTATTACTTATTTTCTACTAGAAAGCTGCCCACAGATAGCCTGAACAAAAATGAGCTTCCCTATTCGAAGAAGTGTCTTCTTCTTGGTTTGTGAAAGTTCCAGTCTTTTGAATAAAGTAAGCTGATAAAAAGGTGCTTCTAAAGGCTTTCTCTTAAGTTTTGTTACAAGCAGTGATAAAGGAGAGCCACTGAGATGTGCTCTTTGAAGAGCCAAGAGGTGCGCTGTGAGGCTTCTTGAAATTCTGTATGTAGACGAAATGAAAGAACTGTGACAGGGTACAGCTTCCTTTGCACTCGTGGCTGCATTTGTAAGAGGTGTATTTATTGAAGCACCAATCTTACCAGTTAATGCAGAATTCTACTTACCTGTAGATGTAAGAGTTAACACTAAGACTTTGTCTGACCTCAGTTGCATCCTCGCTTCCAAAGAAAACTTGAGATGACATTTGATGCTTTCCTGTTATTCAGAAAAGTGGGTTTATTTTCCTTTGAGAAAGAAGATAGAAATCTCTGGTAGCCACCCATCCACAACTGGACATCATACAATATTCTAATGATAGCTTTTTTAGTATTTAGGTAGAGAACTTGGTGTGCATTCTGTTTTTCTCGGTTTCTTCCAAGTATCTGAGTTTGGTTTTGGGCATTTTCTTTCTTAGTTGTTATTTATGGCCATGCATATGTGTGTTACATTATGAGAAAACATTTTCACAATAGACACCTTCAGTTTAAGTAATCGCTTTCTGACTTTTACAGTTGTGTATTATAATTAATTAACTCAAATTGTCAGAGTTTTTTTCCCCAGGTATCTTCTTTACCCTGCTGTTTTCTAAGAATGAAGTAATTGTCTATATTGAATCTAGATTTCCTGGTTTGTAGTTGTAATTGCTCATGTGGAAGGAAGTAAATACATGTTTTAGTAGCTTGCTGAAATTGCTGTAATAAAGAAAAAAAAAGGATAGTCAAAGGTCTGATCACTGATAAGTGAACTAGCAGCTTGGCAAGTAAAGTAGGGAGTAGACCGACATGCTGATGGTGCACGTAGGCAGCTGGTTTTTGTTTTGTATTAAATTGTCAGTTAACAAGCCTTGTCATAGTCAAAGCACAGTTCAGTCATTACAGATTCACAAAGCAGGTAGACAAGTTGCTTCCATGTTCACAGTGAGGTATTTTGAAATAACTTGTCTCAGTTTTAAAGAAATTGAAGAACAAGATTAAGCATTTTACATCTTTTTATCATTGCAACAGTTATTTTAAAATCAGTGAAGTGTGGCGATCCAAATTTAGTCTGAGGTTATATATGAAATGTGTCATTATCTGATGAATTTGTTACCTCTGTGTTTCAGAAGCATTTATGGACTAGTTCTCTGAGAGCTGTCCCTGGAATGATGCTTGTAAATTACTGCAAAGATTAAAAACTTACTTCAACTTTTCATACCTAGTTCTGACTTGAGTTTTGCTGTGCTGTCTGTATAGCAAAGCAAACCTCATGTTAACATTGTTTCTTTTATAGCCTCTTCAAAGGGCAAACTAATGAAAGTAGCAGTTAGCCATAATACCGTCCTGTGGCTTTTATTTCTTCCCACTAAAGGTCCTAACCCTGTGGCAGAACAGAATCTTCTGCAAATTGTAGCCAGTTCAGTGTTGTGTCCTACAGCTTAGGCTAATAGCTGATGACAGAACAGCCTGAAGAGAATGTTGTTGTGTTGACTCGGAGTGCAGAGTCTGTGCTGCTGTACAGGACTTCAGAATGCCAAAGTAAGAAGCCTCAGTTTCTTTCCTCCAGAAATGTCTCCAATTATGCTTAGATTAACAGACTCATTTGGGAAATATATTTTAAAGTCTACTGATACTTTAAAATTAAAACTTTTTTTAAAAAAAGCCTTTAAACGGAAAAAGATCTGCTGTCACAAGGATGAGTTATCAGCGAAGCGTAGGTAATGATACGCGGGGAACAATTTCTTGGCTGTCTTGTGATGCTTTTACTGTTTGCTTTGGCTTTCCCCAGGAGGGGGCAGCAAATGAACAACGTCGAGCTGGCTTTTACTTTTCAAATGCCTTTTCAGTGTTCCTCTTTGATTATAACCTGCAGCGTACTGATCTAAAAAGTTTTAAATGATGATTTCTACCTAACTTGTTTGCTACAAGGGTAGCTGAAATGTATAGATTGGAAGTATTCATCATTTTCAGTATTAGGCAGTAGAATTTATTTAGTGAAATCAAATTCAAGTTTATAAAGAAGGTAGTTCTAAATGAATGCTTAAGATTCTTATGACTATGGCATTAGGTGTGTATGTATTTTAAAGGATAAAATAGCCAAACACTTGGATCCCATGACAATTATTAGTTAGTGGCACCCAAGTCTTGCTTAACATCTTTCAAATGTTTCTTTTCTATATTTCAATTTACATTAATATAATATTCCAATTCAAAATAATGTTGTCATAACCATTTTTGTCCCATCAGAAAATAAAACTGAGAATACAGTAATTATAGTGATGGGTTTAATTCACATATGATTACACATATAATACACATATAAATACAATGTACAAGGATGGCTTGTGCACTCTGCTGACAGTGCATGCACATTAAAGGCCTCAGTTCACAGAGAGTAGTAGTAATACTAAACAATATAACCAATTTTTATTCTTATTTCAGCAACAAAGTGCAGTTCTATAAACTAAAACTTTATGGAGGCATACCATATTACTGATTGAGAGTATGGGATGTTTTTTTCATGACTGTATGGGAAAATGCTGATTTACATCTCATTCTGAATTTCTTGAAAGTGTGTGGCCATAATTTTGTCAGTTAAAGATCAAGTAGTTAGCAAGAAGCGACAGAGAGGGGGCAGTCTAACCTTTTCATTCACTGAGTTTTAACCAGTATAAAGTTCATATAAATATAAAGTTCATATAAAGAAGGGAAAATCATAGAGG